TACGGGGAATCACACTCAGTTCAGCACCGGTATCAATCAAAAATCGGATACCAGTGCTTTGGTCTTGGATGAATAAAAGACGACTGGGAAGGATGCCGGAAACAGGCGCCGCCATTACTGTCCGGCTTTGGGGTTTCCCTGTAAGGTGAACGAACAGGGTGGGGTGCATTTCTTGGCTCTGGGGCCAAAGTGTTGGTGGTACCAGCAATGTTGAGGGTTAGAACTGGCTGGCGGGCGATTTCTGCGGGTTTGTGAAGTCGAGCGACTTCGACTACGACTGGATGACCGTGAGCGGGAGAGGTGAAGAATCAATTGCTGCATCTGCAGTTTAAGGTTTCCCATGCGCGAAGTGATATCATCACAGAGAGGGACGGTCGGGGTTGGGTTAGAGCAACGAATGGTCGACCTCCATAAAACAGCGGTTGGAACATGTGTTGCGCATGTCTCGTGATTGATTGTCGGGGTTGGGTTAGATCAAGCGGTGATGTGATGGGTGAAAATAAGTTGAAGGTGGTCAAATTAAGATCTGGCATGAGGTTATGAGGACCTTGATCAGGAGACTGGTTCGCAGAGGCTTTTCTGTATGGGGACATCGAGATAATTGTAATTGATTTTTAGAGACACTAATGAAGTTGTGTCGTAACCAGTTTCGCCCTTGTAGTGGGGCAATATCCTTGCAGCCTTAGTCTTTATGAATTCTCTGCTACTCCTGACGCCGTTGATTAGTTTGTGCGCTCTCGGTTTTAGTGATTTTTTGCCAAATCTCGTCATGCAACACCGAGTCAACATTCATTCAACTCCGCTTTTTGTCCTCCGTAGTAGGTTACAAATTTCGTGGATATATTCCCCAAGTATCGCACTCTTCTGCCGCTCCGTTGACCAAACCGAATTTTCTGTGATGTATACACAGCAAAAGTGATCCGTTCCACCATGGTTCCATTTTGAACGAGAATTTATTCATTCCTCTGTCTTGTTTCACGATAGTTACGGATATCTTTTGCGTACTTCAATTCTGTGCCGTTCCCCATCAGTCATGTACCTGTCCCTTGTCATCGCGCGCGGTACTAACAAACTGCCCTAATCATCGTTCTTCATACCTTGAGCCAGTTACTCTGAGTTCGTTCCACTCAACCTTTGTCAACTATCCAGTCTCGCCTTCCAGTGCAATAATGTAGGCCACCAGATAATGTCAACGAGTTTTAGATACTTTGTTCAAGAGGGAAGCGATGTCACAACAAGAATGACGTGAACCTCCTGACAGAAATACTTTTATGCTGCGTGCGCCAAACTATCAGGCAAGCTGATTAAACAAATGACCGCACAACCAGATCGTTTTCGGTTTTGCACCATTTATTGAGGACTACTATTTTCAGATATATAATAGGCATCACAAACAGGTTTGAAAAATTACTTTTGGCCGTTAAGTAAAATGGTAAACGCGAAAATTACTACGCTAGGAGAGAAGATAGTAGTGTTGAGTGCCCCGGTTACTCCAGCGAGCCCGACTCAGCGATCGACGAAACATCGGTATTCCCTGACTTGTACCACTCAAATGAAAATCACAGGCATAGCTGCAATGACAAGCACCGTGCTGGATACAACGGGGAACGCAAGCACTGTTCAAGGGGCAAAGAACATCATTCCCAACCGTGAGCCGTCAGTCATTTGCACGAATGCACCCGAATCAATAGCACAAGCCTTGAAGGAGCGTCAAGCGGAAAAATTCAACCACTGGAATAAGTTATTTCCAGATGGGCACCAAAGTCCAACCTTTGTACCACACGCATCTTGTACGTCAGCCCTCCTCGCCTCAAACCGGCCAACCCGGATTCCTCAGGCGAACTTCAAAAGAGAAACTGACGTGAAAAACCTTTCTTTCTACTTTCGTCCGGGAATCTACAATAAAAATTTTGCCCGACAGATCATGGACAGAGGGCGTGACCCACGGGGCTAATCTGAAGAGTGCGCGGGAGAATAAGACTTGAAGATTCGTCTTCATTCATGAAGTTCCACAGCTAAACGATGTTAGTGAATCCGAAAGTTACCGGAACGAGTTCAAAGAGTTGCAATTCATGCAGGATTTATCAGAATGTCACAATGTAGTTACCACATCAATCAGTCGGTTTCCTTGTTCACCAAACTGCCATGGCAACGGTCCAAGGATAGCAAAAATTAATCTTGATAATCCGGAAATGACCACCACTGTTCTGCAGTCATGGCAGGAGAGGAAAAAACGAGGTTCGTCGGAACTGCACCTCAGACCACTGCTAGATCGTAGATCCCCAAACAGCCCACAGTTGGAAGATACTATCAACATACTCCCAATGGGAGTCCAAAGAGCCAGAGCACCCTTCTCAAAAGTGATCGAAAGGCGACTACTCGGTAGTCGGAAAGAATATCACTTCCTAAATAAAATTTTTTCTCACTGAAGGTAATTGAACTGCTACACTAACGCACGAGAATTCCCACTTTCGCTATCAGTGAATATTCGGCCGTACACAGAGTACACCATCCAAGCCTGGAGTCCATGGTTTTAATGCCGGAAGTTCCAAAAAGGATTACCATCAAGATGGTCAAGGGATTAGACTGCCTCATCTATGGGGAGATACTACGATCACCGGGACTTTATTCTGCGCAGTACCGCTGAATTCGAATTTGGGCACATAATACAGAACCCGAACCATCCACGTCGACCGATGCTCACATCGTGGCTTAGCATGTATCTTAGGAACAGCATTCAAGTTAGTGATTCAAAACTGTCGATTAGGATGTCTGCAATCCACCTGCACTATCTGGAACCCTCTTCCATCTCACATCGTTTGTACGCTAACTGTTGAATCTTTCAAGCCGATACTTGATGAAACCTTGGCGCATCTCACATTCCTATACAACCAAAAGTGCAAATTAGTTGAGCACTTCATTATGTGTTATCTCCTATCCAGGGCCATATGTGATCGAGCTGGTGATCGTGCCTGCATCCTAGACCTGATTCTCACTTGGGTCCCTTTTTTCTTTGATATTTTTACTTTCCCTCCTCCTAGGTCACAAGGCCACGGTGTTGTATATTGTTCTATTAGATTTACCAGGTATGATGCGCCATCCACCTCAAGACACACAATATGGCGCTACAAATCAAGCAACTATGACGGTTTCTGTGATTTCCTGGCTTTTTACCGGTGGACCGATTGTTGTTTCCCTACGGATGTTTCCAACTCAGTTCCCAACTTCACCGACGTTATTCTTCAATGCATTGATCTTTTTACTTCGCACTTTTCCAAAGCGGGAAAATCCAAATCTCCCCGAGTGGTTCAATCATGCATGTGACCGTGCTGTATGCCCAAAACTCTCGGTCTTCCGTCACTCGCCCACTCCCGACTCCCACCATCGCTTCCTGCAAGTTAGGAACAGATGCTCGACGACCATTCAGATAAACAAAGAAGGCTTCGTTAACCGCGAAACCGAAAACTCGTTATCTTCCACCGCCGATAGCCGGACATTTTGGTCCTTATCAAAGCAATTTCCCGTAATTTTTACCATTCCAACTTCCTTTCCCATCTGTAATTCCTCTGATGATCTTGCATGTCAGCCATCCGATAAAGCTGAGGTTTTTGATTTTCCAGATTGCCGCCAACTCTTTCTTATCGATTATCCCAATCCTCCACCTTCTCCCTAATTTACTGTTTGTCCTTTCCTCCCTCTTATTAACACTAGGAAATTCCGCACTCTCTAAACGCAAACAAACCACAGTCCGGAAGGTACTCAACCCATCATGGTCCTCGAAATGTGCGTTCTCTAGTTAGCTCCCATTCTAAGTCGTCTCTTTTGTCTTCCACTCAAACTTTCTACTTTTCCAACCTCTTGGAAATGCACATTGGTTTTTCCCATTTACAAACGCGGCTACCGTTCCGGCCCCAACAAATTCCGTCCTATTCTCCTCACATCTTTCCTTTCCAAAGTACATGAAGTCGTCATCTCCAAACAACTGCGTGCGTTCCTCGAACATAAAGGACAACTGAGCGACCGCCAGTATGACTTCCGACTGCGCCGGTGACCTGTTGGCTCTTGTCTCGCAATCCTTATAGGCTGCACTCAATGACCAAGCAGAAATGCACTTGATCTCAAAACCCTTAGACCGAGTTTGGCACGAAGGTCTGCTGACAAAACTGCCGCTGTTCGGATTTCCTCCGGCTCCCGTAGCGTGGACACCAAGTTTCCTCCATAGGTAAACCATCTTTGTCCCCGTTGACGAGGTTCTATCTCAGCCACTCCCTGTGAATCTGCCGTTCGTCAGGGTTCATTAAGTACGCCCATCCTCTTTATTCTGTAGTCATCAATGACCTTCTTTCTGGAACCATTATCTTAATTTACTCTGTTGTCGATGACACCACCCTCCACCTCTTCCTCTCTTACTGCACTACCTACCATGTCCGAAAGAGCATCGATCGTGACCGCAGTGCAGGTAATGCGCCATCGGACTCTGATCTTGAACACCTCCCGAGGCAGTGTCAACCACGTTTCATTCAACGTTTCTGAATCCTGTCTTCCTACCACCACCTATTTTTTGATTCCACCCAACTGTGTCCAAACAAACTCTCTGGATCGGCTATAAATTCTTTTTTATGCTGGACCCCTTTTATAGCTCAACGTGCTTCTCGTGTTGCGCATACGGTTGGCTTTTTATCCCGCGCTGGACGCGTTTTCACTCTAGCTCATCTTTCACTCTACAGAGCTCAGATCCGCTGTGTTCTTTAATACAACTGTCACACGTGGTGTGAGGCGTAGTCTTTCTTTGCTTACTTGATCGTGTTAAATTACAGACGATCCGGCTGATCAATTATCCACCCTTAATCTCCTATCTGCAGCCCCCGGCTCATCGTTGGGCAGTTGCTTCAATGTCCTCTGCCGTTATCACCTTGGCTTTCGTTCTTCCCAATTTTCCTCGGCAGTTCCTCTTCCTGTAACTTTAGCCTCGCTCATCCCGTATGCAGCTATCCAGTCATCTTTATTAGATTTCAGTCACTAGATGTCGTACTTCTCTGCTCTAATCCTACTCTCCCCACCCCAATCGGTCAAATTGTTGAACACCGTCGCACTTTCTGTCTTTCCTCCAACTTACAACGCAGAACCACTAAACTTTTCTTTTACAGTATGCTTTTCCTAAATGGGGATTTGCACTTTCACTGTGATTCACATTACATCCAATAAAGTAGACGTGCTTTTTACGGGTCATCCATGTGATTTGTCGAAGGGCCAAGGTTAAGTGACATATTAATCTCCCCCTCGATGGTTTCCCGCTCTCCTCTGGTCATGTCGCTCCACCGTCCACGTATACTTGTTTTCCAGTCCATGCCCTTCGTTTGTTACCAATCTGTCAGTCATTTTGATTCGCTTTTTTCCTAGGAGGAACTTGTCTATCGCTGGTTGAATCCCATATACATAGATATGCGTCAGCAGGCGAAAATTCGGCATCGTTTCGTTCGTGCATCTGAAATTCAGCTGTCAAATTTCTTACGGGTAAGCTCAGCGGGTGTGTCGTTTTCTGTTCGTACAATATGCTTACGTTTTACGCATTCAGATCAAAACAAGCTAGAGGTTTTTCTTTCGTGCACAATCTTCACCAGAAATACTTCGTACCTTTTAACGGGTAAACCAATAGGATTATCTCCAATCTATTTTGCTTATTTCTCGAAATAGCCGGATACCATGACGCTAGGATTATTGACCCTGGAGAAAAATTGAATAAGCTGTGGATTATCATGTGGTTATCGAAGTACTAAAATCTTGACAAAATATTGAAAATCGGTTCTCGTAGCTCGTTTGAACTGAATTCCATTTCGCCTGTTCGCCGAGCTTGACAATTTGTTTGCAAACGTTTCATCACCAGCCGAGATGGCATCATCAGTGCTTGTGCACCACAAACCACGGCTAAAATTTCTAGTAAGCCATGTTGTCGATTTAGTGAATCAACTGGTAGGAAAATCGCACCGGTTTTTCCTGAAACGCTGCCACTTAACTTCTGTAACTTCTCCTGTTAACTGAATGACTAGTCCCGAAGCAGCCCATCAGTAGCTGTGCGGCCAACAATGGTATTTATTTTTCTTAAAGATTGAGTTGTGAACACTTGATCGTGCCGTGGCTAGTACTGGGTTGTTATACCCTTGATGTCGTAGACCAAGAATTACTTCCTGAGGCCTTATTTTTTATTCTCCTATGTCCAAGCAAAACCATCAAGGTGTCCTGCTTGTATCCTTACCTCCCCCTCCTATACGTCCTCTCCATACGCCGCAGTTGTGTTGTCGTTTTTCAAATCGTTCCTTTCTATTTAAAACGTAATCAAAATTCTATGGGAGTTCCACAAAAAGCTGATCATTTTTGTACTTAAGCCTCTGGTCGAAATTTCGATCAGTGCCTTCAAATGGTGTCTACGTGACTGGTATGCAGTTTAGTTGAGATCAAGAAAAGATATAAATTCCATCAGGGTTCCTCAACCTACACTCCCTACAACACGTCCAAAATCCGCCGTATGGTGACTGATCTCATACCTTGACTAATTCGTTGTTGTCAGCCCCCTTGTCACTTCGCTAGGTGTTCGAGTGTCGTCGTGCTAATTCAATGCGTATTGAGTAATTAATGTGTTTACACGTTTCTCTCTGCTCCCTGCCTGATAACCAATGGCATATTGAGCTCAGAACTACTGACAACTTTTCTTCGTATCTAAAACCAGACCGATCAATGGACCGAACTCGTTCGGGCTCTAACAACAGTAAAAGAGGAAGGACTGTGGTCTCGAATCGGCCCATACAATCGCAAGTAAGTGACTTGCAATTTTTAGACCCAGTTGCATATAAACAAGATCGCTTATTCCGTTTCGCCTGTTCGCCGAGCTGGGCAATTTGTTCGCAAACTTTTCAGCACAAGCCGAGGTGACATTAGCAGTGCTTCTGACGTGGCAGTTTTCTGCTTGTACCTGTTCGTTTACATATGTTTTATTCTCCATGGACTATTTTCCCTTGTTAACATTGTGTTCGACCCGGTTTGCCGATAGCACGACAATTACACAAAGAACGGGAGAACGTAGGGGTTAATCACCAAGGCTAATGTGAAGATCCATTCACGTTATCATAGATTCGGGTTAGAGATAAATAATGTCTAGAACCTCGGTAAACTTCAGTAACTTCGTGATCGTTCTGTTGTAGATGACCTGAAATGCTTGAGTTGGAGTGGCAATGTTTTTGTTCAAAAACGTGTTGTGTTATCGAAGATCTGAGTCTTTTCTGCTCATTCGATGGCGTTTCGTGACTTGTCTTCCATCTGTTTCTCAGGTCACACCAGGATTTGTTCAGCTATTCGGTGATGTAACTGCCTCTCTGTTCGACCTATATAGATGTCCGAACATCCACTTTTGAGTTTTTAAGTGTAACTTGAATTGGCGGAGGAGGCAATTGTTCTTTCAACACTGTTGTTGGTATCCGGGTGGTAGTGAAGACAGTCAAAGTCAAAGTGACCAGGTTAACTGAATAATAGACGCGCTTGACGGCAGAGTTGGAAACCATTGTGTCACCCCAACCCATGCATTTCAGGTCATCCACAACACTTCAAGCAGAAAGTTACTGAAATTTCCCGAGGCTCTAGACATTTGTACTACCAAACCCGATCTGGAAAAACAACGTGAATACTCAGTCACAGCTTTGCCTTCGTGATTAACCCCTGCGCTCTCCCGTTCTTTGTCTTAGTGTGTCGTGTTATCCGTTGCGATTAGCGATCTCATCTTTATCTTGCTGTTATTATCTCACTGACTAAAAATTTAGTTTCGTTGCGGCTAGGTTCTATTTTCATACTAGATGTACACTGATCACCCTGTTTGGTCGGAGATATATTAATCAATAGTGCTATCCGTTCTTCTAATAGCGTTCGTATTCCTGATTCCGAGCAATTTGCGCACAATCATATGAACTGTCCTCAAGGTTTATTTGATAATGGTCACCGATTTGATTGAATAAGTGATGGGACCGATTGCGCACACTTGAAATCGCGTGAATCTTTTCCCCAGAATATATGTTTTGATGAATGCGATGTCGGTTCGCCTCATTTCGTAAATTCCTATCCCTCTCCATTAACTGAGTAGTAGTAGACCAACTGACAAAAACAGAATTTACTACTTCATTCAAACAGACCTGGTTGAAAAAGAAGTATGTATTAACAGTTGTCCCATGTTTAATTAGACCGGAGTCTGAAACTGAACTTCAATTTAAATTTATATCGTTTTTTTAATGTTTTGGGCAATCTGGAATTTTTTCCCAAAAATGTTTCCTAACCGCCACACGGTTACCATGTTCTGATACTATTGTAACGTAACGCTGGGACTGAATTAGCTTGGATCGTGTGCCCAATGAGCACGCGATGGGACGGACAACGAGCGAAAACTGTAACGACCCAGTAACCGAGTGAGTTCAGCGCCAGTACGCTCAAACTGCGGTCACCAGGGCGATTCTCAAGAGAACGAGAAGAACGTCCATCGAGTGCAGTCGGATCCCTAATGTCGACCAGAGATAGGACAGACTTTCAGGGGAAGTTGTATATTTGGCTGTCGTCAAAAGCTGACGATTACGGATAGCTCAACTGTTTTTATACGGCTTCAACGCGGACCAACAATGACCTTGAATATTAACTTAGAAGTACAGAGTCCTGAGGAAATGAACCAATCAGGATCCAATATGGCCAGCGGTGTAGACTAACGCTTTTTTTCGGCACGACGATTCGGAAATTCAAATTTGCTAAAAATGATTAGGAAAAAGGAAATAGCCACTTTTGAAGAGGAAATGGACTTCACGTATCAGATACTATTGATTGAATTTTTGCTTTCCCACGATTATTGCGATGACTGGTCTTGGTTCAAGCGATGATTTAAGCGCCATGGGTTAGCGGAACTGTATAGTTCGAGTATAAGCTTAGGGGTTCCACTTTTGACATTGCTTCTGTATCTTCCGAGGTATTCATAGAAGTATCTTGTGAATGCAATACAAAACAATATCACGATGCCATTCAGTCCTGTTTTATTGCGGGCTATACCTCATGCTTTTTTGTACCACCAATCGTTAATAAGGGTCTCATTGGAACGCTTTTAATTTTTTCGGCCACTGTCAACCTGGTTTAGTCTGCCCGTCAAGCGTTTTGATAATGGTTCCTGTTCCCCGAGGACCATCTCGGATCCACTGATGGGAGCCGACAAACGGGGACTACTTTCATGTGCCACTCAATTTTTACCTTCAGGAAGCTGGGTAGTGTTCTCTTCAACGGATAATGGTTCACACCAGTGGCATCCATCTAATCCCATTGGTGATATCTTACTTCATATCGCAAGCACTGGAACGACGGTTCAACCGGGAATGGTTACCTCTATATCTCACCGGTTGCTGTATCGAAGCTGGTTCCCTAGATAGAATAAAAAGGGTTCATCATGACCAATAATTTTATTCCAGGGTCACCCAGTCGTTTCCAGACCGCGCCTCTAACCTCGACAAAACCAACTGATAACGACCAAGAAATATTATGTTTGTCCACGGTTCCGGTTGTATTATAGGAGTCTGTTTGCCGTTTCATAAGATCGATATGACCCAATGATCTATGTCTCCTGATTAGTTTGGGTGACTTTTCTCAAGATCGTCGGATCTACCAACAGATCTTGTTTGTTAACCCAGTCCTAATTGTTCTCGCTTGCCATACTGTGTCTCGCGGAAGATTTTTTGTCTTGTTCACGCTGAACCTTGTTTGGCCCTGCTATAGAGCGGTTTATCCGGGTTTGGCCGTTGGTTTACAAACCAGGTACCCTTTAGTGAGAGCTTAGTCAATCGCTAAAACCCATGGGTTGGACCATGTCTCAGAGGAACGATGTTACCACTTCGAGTTGCTACTCGTATCAGGTGGTTCTTGAATAGCAGCACTACTTTGTGACACATATATGAGTAGGTCTCGACTACAACAACAGTTGGTCTACGGGCGATTGTTCTATACGTGAACACCGTACAAAAATTTGCTATCAAAAGTGCCAGGAAGTTAATCAGCCTAAAATGCGAATCACTTTTTTTGGGCTTTCTCCATCCCTGCCCTCCTGACTCCAGTTCCGAGGTGATCCGTTTTCACTAACGTTTAACTGTGGCGTGTTGGGCTCCAGTTGTATGATTTTGACCCACTCTCATTGAGGAAAATCTAAATATCAGGAATGGACACGGTATTTCGTATCGGTCGTACTTCTGCCGTTCAGTAGCTCCCTTCTGTTGGTAGTTATGTCTCTGCGGTCCATGTCCTTTCGCTTGTTGTTCCCACATCTTTCAACCAAACTGGCTGCTTTCATGCCCAATGCCGCAAACTGGAAACAACCCGTGCTTGTTTTAGTCGCGGTCTGATTGTTATTGCAGGTTTCCTGACCTCGTGTTGCATTCTAGAGAACGTTATCTATTGGTTATTCGAGTTCCGCTGCTTCTTGTCCTCCTCTCGTCAAACTAGGAATTTTCATGCACTTGTACTGGATTCTGTAGCTGAAACGAGTGACCTACCGGATGTGCTACGACAGTTTTATCGCCTGTTCACTTCCGAAGCAATCTTGGTGATTCTCAGCGATCTGACAGGTATTCGCCTCCATCCAAACTCAGTCATACCAGATGCAAACATTGTGAGTCGTTCAATTCATCTATTTGCTTGCTTCATGTGCTTACTCGAGGGAAGAAACAGTAAAACAGCAGCGTTCGAACTCTAATTTCCGGAATATATACGTGTTTCCTCATTTTGATGAATCGGGTCTTGAATTTGATGCGGTCGGGACGATTGTATTTTTGGGTTAGTGGCTCCCCAAATTGATGCCTTATTCACGGAGAGCGGGTGTGTGACGGGGGGGGGGAGTGGATGCAGGATGTCATCACGACAGACGCTGATTAATCACTTCAGTTTATACAACGACTAGTCTTGCACTTGTGTGTTCTGCTCTTGATTTCGGCTAAGCGACAAACGAAGGAAAAGGAGAGGGTTTTACCGTGGTGAGGACACACATTGCTAGAAGACTGGATGTTCGTGAAAAACCGGATAGGTGCTGGGGCACTTCTGTTTTCGATGGTCATTTTCATCAAGTGTATTTAACCACTGAGTGAGTCTATTGTGAGAACTTCAACCAGGGAAACAAGCACAATTTGAGTAACGATGTCTACTGATGTGAACTTTCTAACGCCTAGACCACCCGCTGTTCACTTTCTTTCACTGAATAACACCCTTGGCAACCATTTTGAAGAAGTCTTTACGGTCACATTCTCTAGTCGGTGCTACCTGCAAAGATGGGGCACTTAAAAGTATTCATTATATCAGGGCTCTATCTGGTTCCCCAATCCATGTCCCCAGTTATCCGGATTGAACAATGGACTATCGTGGAGTTTATCTCTTTCGCTGTTCATGGTGTAACAGTATGTGTGTGTATTATTAAGACAATGCGGTGATTTTGCGTTCTACCCAATATCATACTACCTCTCCGGTTCTTGCTTCGGACTCATGCAAATAACCCTGCTTGAATACTGACCGATGGTGTGTGTTCTATTTGACTGCAGGCAACTGATGAAAATCGGCTTTCCTGTCGTTGTGCCACCCATGGAGTTACAGCTGTGTTCTGAAAAATACACTGCACTTTGTCGTTTAAGAGATGATGAAATCGCACAACGAGTAGAATAATTTTTGCTGATATTACCGATTTTTAGTTGAGCCGCGGGGTGTGGCTTTGATCTTGAGACAGGTTTTGAAATGCAGGATGCATATCGCATGAGTTCCGTGATCAGAATGTTTGATTCGTTAACCATTTGGTGCAAGGGTTTCTGGGTTTTCAAGCTCCGTTGTGCGGAATCGTTTGTTTAAGGCTCGTTATTGCAATTAACCTACACTATCCCTTTAGGGCCGCGGTTCAAACCCTCCCACCGTCCTCGGCTGACAGTGATAATAAGCAACCTGGTTGCAGCAAGCGGTTGGTATTCATAGACTACTTTGGTGTGGTCATGTGTTTCCCATGCCTCCAAACCGCTTGTTACTGGGCGCGCTCTTTGTCGAGACACTTAATGGGTTGAAAATGTAAAGGATGGTCAGACTTACACCTAGCATGAGGGTATGAAAACCCTGCTTAGGAGACTCGGTCATATAGACCGCGGTAAGTATTGGGATCTTAGGATCGACCTAACTTTTTCATTTTACTTCCTTTTTTATTGAAAATACAAAGATACAACAGCTTTCAGGAAGGAAGAAGCGGCCAGTCAGAGGGCTGCCATTCGATACAAAAAGGGGAAAGTCAGGCGATGGTTGTGGGGTTCGAACACATCCCCGGGGTGATAATTTGTTGACGTTACCACCGGGCCGTCACCGCCCGGTGGAGAGAGACACCGAGTCTCGTAAGCAGTGATGTTAGTTCATGTACTCACTATCGTTGCAACTTTATTCTATCAGAATTCTCCATTTTTAAATTGGCCGTGCTTCCACCATTCCAATTTTCACTCTATCCCTTGCGAACTGACAACCAAGAAAACAGTGCACGGAAGTGCATGGTTAATGGTTGTATAAACTATACTGAGAACTAACAATGTATTGTTCCAAGCCTGTCTGTTCACTCAACGAAACAGTACGCTTCCGTAACTATGGAATTCACTCCTTGGATTGACTGTCTAACCCCTTCGTCAAGTTAAGTGACGGATCGCAAAAAAGCAATATTCTTTTACGAGAATACTAGAGGATTTACTGCACCTTTTGGCTTGAGCTCGCTCACCCTTCCTTATGTACTCCGTGTAGAATGCCGCTTTCTGTTAGAGACTTCTGATCGCGCAGTCTTCAGTAACACCTAATGCCGCTTCTTTACTCAAAGTCTTTTCTCATGCTTCGAATTGGACAGCGTTCTTCAGTGAATTTCATTAGGTTGTGCGACGTAGCAAAAATTATCTATGCAGTCCAAGATGAATTTTACCAAAAACTGCACGAACCGGGCTGACATCGTGATTTTAGCCGGAGATATGAATGACAAAGTAGGCTGATAGTGAGGCGCATCTGGGAGGTCCTTCCGGACTAGATTTCTGTCGCTCAGAGAACAGGGAATAGCTGTTCGCTCCTTGTTCCAACCGTCGTCTATTCCTCACCAGTACGCACTTCAGAAGGTCCAACTGCTGGTATGCTACTTGGTGTCCGCATTCCTGGAGTCAGCGACCAACACAAATCGACCACAATTTATCGGGTTGTGTACAAGACTGCCAATCCTACTGGAGCACTCCCCTCGAATCCGATCACGCGTTCGTATGTGCCAAACTGTGTTCCAGGGAGCGCCCTAAACGCTCAACACAACGACGGTTAGGCTATGATCAGCCGTCCAAACAAACAAGAACATGTTTTCTACAGCCGTTTATTCTCCTTCCCACTGTTTTGCATCCCAACCCTTTCGTTCTCTGGTACTTTTGTTGTTGCGTCACCATTAGACTTGTTCACAAGCCGGTGATTAATAAATAAAATACGTGACCTAACCGGTCGCTCCTGCTATGTTTTCAGATTCTAGACCTATTTTCGGTGGCCACCTAACAAGCTATTCAAACTTTCGAAAGCAAAGTCTGATAGGCGAAGCCGACTGTCTTTCAATAAATTGCTCACCCACTTAAAACTATGCAAGACTTTCACGCAGACACGATTAATTATTTCGTCTTTTTCATTACTCGTTCCCAACTTGTCATCATGCTAGTCCATCACGACTGAAGGTACAGTTTCGGAGGCGAAGCGGGCACGCACAGTGGACGAAACTGCAAATTCTGCAGACGTTACTAGTTCCGCCATGGACTCCGAATGGGCCTCATTGACCGATCCACAACTTCGGCGTTGGCGTTCCGGTTGTTATACACTGTTAGCTGACACGGACCTCATAGGTGGAAGCTGGCGTTTGGAATCTGTGTTTCACGTAGCCGGGTTTGGGAAACCAGTTCGCAAACATGCTAAATATCTGAACGAATCTGGGCCGGAAAAGCCGTCGCCCTGTTGGGATCCTGCTTGGGGCGGCCAGATTGTCTATGTGGCCAAAGACGAACCGGATGATGTAAGCGGTTTTTGTCTTTTCTCAATAATTTCTTGCTTGTGTTCTGTCTGTGACATTTGAAATGTAATTTAAAGATTCCTGAGCGTAACAAAGTAATGCGAATTACGCATGGTTGGTAAACAGACTTTCTGTATGTTCCTCAACTTCGATCACTGCAGATAGTCCCCGCCTGGAGGATGTAGGTTGGAAAGTGATCAGAGAACAGATACCAGAGACAGGTCGTACTAAAGGTTTACCTTGTCATTGATTGTTGTGTGCGTGCGTCTTTTTCATAGCTTTTTTATATTTCACACGTTTGTAATGAACAGCAGACGGGGTGTATCCCATAGCCACGAAGACCTACTGTTCAGTAATATCAACCGGCAACCTAAGTCCCGGGAGTTGGAGTGGCGAACTACACAAGGCCCCGCTAGGTCAGGCGTGGTATTGAACTGGACAAAAGCAAAGCTGCTCGTCACCAGATTGTTGCAGGTCGGTTTATGTTCGTATTCAACAGGTTTAGCAATGTCTGGCTGCCGTTACGCTTTACGCCAACCGGCTGCGGAGTCGATAGTGGTGGTTCGGCAAAGTAGCGTTCTTCACGGATGAGTGAGTTATCATGCGGGCAAGTATTTGCGTTCGATCTGAATGAATGTCGGGTTCTTCTGCAGAGGCATACACAATGGTGACTGTGCTCGTTCCCCCTTTTCTTGAGTAGTGTTCCACCCCGCTAGTCGGTTTCAGTTGCAAACTCAGGCCTTCTCTACAACACACTGTAAAATTTCCGCATTTGATTCCGTCCACATTGTGAATAACACATGATGATACGGATTCTTTTCTGTCGCATCAGGTGCTAATATGGTGTGCAAAAAACTATCGATTCTGCCACGGTTTCACGAAGTGTCTCAGCAACCGAACCACTTAGATTAATCGTATATTTATAATCAGACGAAATACTAGGGAACACACTAAGTGGCCTCCGAACTGTGAGTAGTGAGTGGGCAACTGAGGAAAAGTTGTGTGATTTGGAGTACGCTGACAGATCAGCAAGTTTCCTCGTTCCGTTCGACATGTTCTTCGGACCTTCAAGGTGCAAAGTGATGCCGCAAGACTGGGTGTTGCCGAGTTCTGTTTTGAAACTAGACAATCAAGAATTAGCTGAAGTTGACTGCTTGTCGTACTTAGGTAGCTGCGTGACTAATGACGGTAGCGCATCAAAGCATACGAAGGCCCGGATTTCCAAAGCTCAAGCAGCGTAGGCAGGAGTTAAATAACTGTGGCGACGACGTGACGTTTCACCGACGTAGAAAAGTTGCGCATACTGCGCTACTGTACAATCAGTTCTGCTTTACGGTTATGAGACCTTGAGTTTGCGGATATAAGACATCCGTCGCCTAGTGGTTTTCGATAGTCGAGGCTTACGTAGTCTGGCCCAAGCGCTTTAGTCACTTAGAAGTAATCGGATGTTTGGGAATGCATAAAACACGAAATTGCCATCGCTTCGAATTCAGCTCAGTAGGCTCCGTTGTTTGGGACACGTTTTGTATATGTCCGGCGGTCGACTACCGCAGCGCGCCTTATTGGCAGTGTCTGTTGCCGGTTGGAGAAAGCCACTTGGGGGGCTGCAGATGACGTGGAGATGTGGCATGAACAAATGCACGCAGCGATTAGGTAGAGTAGGTGTTTCTCGTCCTCCGGGTTGGCGTCCAAAAAGACTCCGCAACCTCGTTATTGGAAACACTGAAGGTCATGGCTGTTGACTGATCGTAATGGCGATCTAGTTGTTGCTTGTCAGACTGGAGTGCTTAATATAGGGTGTGCATGCACATTTGGACTCCGAGTGTTTACCCTAGCCTTCGGCTAGCCAAAGCCTTACCCGCAAGGCAGCGATTGGTGGTCGGTGGCCAGATAATCATATCATACGCTTTTTGGACGGGGTGAGATGTCCAAGGTATCTTTTCTTATTTTTCTTTTTACTTCCTTTTATTGAATATACAAAGATACAATTTTCAGGAAGGGGGAAGCGGCCAATTCGAGGGCTGCCATACAACACACAAATGGGGAAAGTCAGGCGGTGATGGTGGGATTCGAACACTCGTCCTACGGGGTGATAATTGGCGACGTTACCACCGGGCCACCACCGTCCAATTGAGCCGGTGGCCAATGCCATAGCCATTGTGCTCGGCTTTCTCAACGGAGGCTATTCAAGACACTTGGTCTTATGGGAGCGTTTCGCGAGGTGTACGGGAAGGGTAACCAGCCGCAACCCTAGATACCTACCCCCGTTCATACTGAGGCTTTTGGAGGCGAAGGTTGTGACAGCAAACCGATAGCAGTGGCGATCTTGCCGTCACTTCTTATCAGTCCAGAATGCTTGAAATACTATGTATAGGATATGAGTTTGGCAGCGATCAATGAAGTTACCTTCACTGTATTACGCTGTACAATGATGAGAGGCATCCATACTTGGTGGTGTGAATATCGCACCGAAATATGGCGTTGAGCACCTCTGTCCAAATTGAGATGGATTTGTCATGGTTCATTGATCAAATCGATCTGTGTGTCGGGAACCAGACATGTTTAAAAGCTTGGAGCCATTCACTCTTCAATTTTTCAAACCAACATGTTTGTAGCCTTTTGATACGTTGGTTAATTGCCTCATTGTATTCTTGATATCACTAGCGTTGTGACTGCAATTGAACAGGTGATTTACCAAGGAGTTAAAAATGCAAACTAGAAGCAAAACCTATCCGTCCTTCGCTTCGGTCTTTCGTCACCTCTTTGTGTCATTTGTGTTTTCAGTTGCTCACAGTTCGACCGGTCGATAATGCACTCACCCTCGTCTACATAGGGCCGGATACGGCCAGTTTCGTTCAGTATATCAATCACACCGCAAAATCAATTCCTACGGAAGGAAAGCAGACAAGCCACACTATCAGTGCTGATTCTGCGGCCTGTGCGTATGATCTGGCCCTGACCTATTACGAGCCAATGAGTGATGTGCAATCGGAGATTGCGGGAAGCTCGATTGTCGGATCAGATGATTTCTCAATGAGCAGTGAGGATTTTGTCGAAGATGGCGACGAGATTACTGCGGCGTCGGAGGAGAGTGACGAAAAGGTGGCGAACAGCATTGCTGCTGAGTCAGGGGATGTAGTGGGTGCGAACGGGCCTGACGCTGTTCCGAGTCCCTCATCGAACGAATGAACGCCTCGACTTCACTTTTCTATTCTCGTGATATTTTGATTGGTTTCGTTCTTCTAAATGCATTTTTAAATTGAAATTCACCGTTTTGCATGGTTTAAAATCGCTGTAAAGAAAAAAGTTACTTCTTCACCTCTTAGGGAATCCCATTCTTAGGCAGATTGTCAGCGGTATCTTTCACTGCAAATAGATTTTAGGGCATCGCATTTGGTTTAAATAATATGCTGTTATTCGAGGCAACCTCGACCTCAATGCAATTTACTTACCAAGTCGTTGAATATCTTAACTGTATCATGCTCACGTTCTCGCTTGGGTATGGTAACTGATTTGTCGATCCACTTTGATGTGACTCGCTTCCTTACCCGACCGACAAAGGTTAGGTACCCCGGGTTCGTTCGTTCTCGTCTGATCGATCAACAATGAACGTTCCCGGAAGATGACTAGTCAAACCCCGCCTTGCTTACTCAAAAAGTGTTGGTTAGTTTATGCAATCAGATCATTCGGAGTGGACGGGAATCGTGAAAAGCCTGGCGCAATAATATACGTGAGGTGGACGATGCACGAATTACTTTGTGGGGTTGCTAGAAGAAAGCGATCGGTGAACTTTTAGATAGTTTGCACTATCTACGATAACTAAACGCGAATCACCTCAACGTTCCTGGATGTGGTGCACTAGAATAAGACTATTGCTCTGAACGGTTAAGAATACGAATAACGTGACCAGTGGTTTATGGAGCGAGACCTGCAGCGAAAGGTTTACACGTGCAACGAGGTAGCGTGACTCGCCGGAAAAAGTGACAATTCCGCGATTGAGCGTAAAATGGTAATTGCACGTGGTAAAACAAAAGCTTGTTTCGAGTAGGAGAGGACTCGTGGGCAGGAGATGAAACCACGGTGTAACTGCACAGCCCCCTCTCCTAGGAGGCTGCCGAAGACGTACCTTCGTAAAAGCAGGGTAAGTTTGTGTGCCAAAACTGAAGGCGGACTAAGATTACCATTCCACAATAAGATCGGGAAACGGTTGAACTATACAATTGGGGAACGTATATATCANAAAGAATTTCTGTTATCAGGACACGGGGTGTTCAACTGTAGGTCATTGAGATTCCGGTCACGGGTCTAGTTTTTCGGAGAGAACGTTCTCTGTAAAATGAATCTTCTGCCAGGATGTGCAGAGCCGAAAACGTTCGTCGCCTACCAGAAATGACTGGGCTAGCCAAAACCGATGTAAGGATGGCCACCCCCCTCTGCACACTCCTTTGGGTTTTCACCCAGGGGTCATACGTCTTTGCCTGGTTAACCCTTAAATCTGGAATAGAGCAAAAATAAATCTACCTAACGGTGCAATCACCGTTGTTGAAGGGTCAACGAAGGAAAGGCATTTTTACAGACCTAACCTGACTGGGAATGGCAGCAGGTGATGGAGGGTAATAGCACACGCTCACATTTAAATCACAGGACGTAGAGAGGCCTTCGTCTGTTGGGTGTCCTGGCAGTGGGGGATTCCGTCCGTGGACCGACTCGCATGCGAGTATAATCCTTCTCCCGACTCTCCACAAACGGGAGTAATATTTGGAGGGGAGACGGCGTGGCATCTCTTAAGTGCATTTCACCAGTAAACTAAATGAACCCTGATCCCCAGGGCAGATTTGGGAATAAGATACCATTCCTTGTCCAGCTATATTTTGAAATCCTTAGCATTCAACTATTTGAGGTAGTTATTTTTTCCATGCAAGGAATATTCTATTTGCAAAGAAGTGGTATCTAATTGCTAAATTCTCCTGGTTCTTTCAAGTGTGTAACAGTGCCCTCGGAGGATGTTTTCCCCGCAAAGTGATTTAGTGTCGAATGGGCTACTGCTCCATGTTCCTGGTGGTTTTGTAAACTTCAGTGAGGTTCTAGCGGAAAAGAAACTACATATACGAATAATAATGAAATAAACGGTACAAGGAACGGACTCACAGAAGGATTG